CAGCACAGCCGATCACTGTGGTCAGACCTGAGAGGGACAGATCCCACACTGGGCACAGCGGACACAGAGTGGACACAGCAGACACAAAGCATACAGTGGACAATGATCCCACACTGGACATAGTGGACACAGAGCACACAGTGGACACAGAGCACACACAGACACAGTGGACACAGCACACACTGGACACAGTGGACACAGAGCACACAGCGCACACAGAGCACACAGTGGACACACAGTCTCTCTCTCACTGACCTGTGTGCTCTGCCCATTGTCCTGGTCTGGCACGGGGATGTTGTAGTACTCCCCCTCTTCCTGGTTCAGGAGCTTGAACCAGCCATTGACGGAGCGCCGGAAGATTTCAGACACCCCGAAGGACAGCGCGCCCATGAAATCATTCCTGCTGGTCCTGTCCCAGTCCCAGACCTCCACCGACAGGCGCCTGTCCCACTCCTTCCCCCGGACAGAGCTGGGAGACAGACAGGAGAGGAGGAGAGCTGAGCTCTTCCTCACACACACGCTGACACACACACGCTGATGCACACTGACACACACACTGATACACACACTGACACACACACTGACACACACTGACACACACTGACACACAAACTGACACAACCACTGATACACACACTGACACACACACACACTGACACACACACTGATACACACTCTTACACACACACTGATACACTGACCACACACTGACACACACACACACTGACACACACACTGATACACACTCTTACACACACACTGATACACACACTGATACACTGACCACACACTGACACACACACTGACACACTCTTACACACTCTTACACACACACTGATACACACAGTGACACACACACTCACAACGTGAAGCTCTCGTTCCACACTGGGTTCAGGGTGGAGCGGATGGTTTTGGTCTTCTGCTTGGTCTGGTTCTTGGGATCGGGAACCAGCTTCAGCTTGACGTAGGGATCGGACAGGCCGTTGGGATCCATCGGGATGAGATTCCGCGCCTCGAGCACTGCAGGGGGAACAGGAGGGACAGACGCCCCTGAGCCACAAACCCCGGACCCAGCAGAACCCACAACGTCACCAGCCGCAGCTCAGCAGACCCGCAGGGGGCGCTGTTCCTCCGGAGGAGACGGCCAACCGTGACTGTGTGCGGAAGAATTAAAGGTGTCATCTCCACGCGGGATTTGCGGTCTGGCCACCTGGTGTAATGAATAACACTGCCACCTGCTGTCCTGACCCTGTCACTGCAAACTCCAGGAGTCAGTGCAGTGCCCTGCTCTCTGTCACTGCTGCTGGTAATGAGCAACACAGCAGAACAAATTGTTTTCCCATGTTATACGATCTTTGCTGACTGCCCTATCTTTCTTAAACCCGGGGAAGGCTCCACAGCCGAAACGTTGTGTTGTGATGCCTGCCTCCATCTGCACGCCCCTTTCAGGAACCACTTCACATCAGTTAAATTCGTGGTGGGGGGCAGGGCTGGACCTCTTCCTGGAGGGGACACCAGTGCGCGGTGTGTCTCCGCTCACCGGTGACGTGCAGCTCCTCTCGCTCCCCATAGACCGAGAGGTGGATCCGCCCTCGTTTCTCCGTGTGGTCTTGTCCACAGAGGCTGGGCACGCTGGCCTCACAGCGGCGGTGGACATTCATGTCACAGCCTGCAGGGC